TATGCTTATTTGCCCAGGTAAGCGCCATCGAAGAACCCCGTGCATCAACCTTCATGGGAAAAATATTAAAATAGTCAGAAACTTGAGGTACCTTGGAGTTATAATTGACGACACATTGACTTGGATGCCACATTTAAAGGAGGTCAAGGCACGACTTCACAGGATATTTCATTCCATGCTCAGAACAGCAGCACCAACATGGGGAGTTTCTTCGAGGATGCTTAAGACGTGGTACTCTGTAGTTGCTGAACGTATTGCACTGTATGGGGCCTCCATGTGGGGCATAACGATCACTACTAAAATGGAGAATCTGCTACGCTCAGCACAAAGACCATTCCTCCTGAGCATTACCCGAGGATATAAAACCTCGCCCACTAATGCTCTAAACGTGATTTCAGAACTGCCGCCTCTGCATCTCTTAGCTCAGCGCGAGAGTGCAACAGTGCGAGTGCTCCGACTCAAAGAGACTATAAGTTTATGGGATAGGACTTATACTGACTTTATGTTTATACTGACTATGAGCAAAGCATTCCCGAGCCACCTTGCCACCCGGCCGAATTCAACATCTCGATTAACTGCAGGTCACCAACGTGGTTCAACGCCACTGCAATCTACACCGATGGTTCCAAAGGAGAATGTGGCACCGGTAGCGGATACTGTGTTCTACTTGGGAACCAGATCTTAAAGACCTGGGAAAGAAAGCTTAAGCACCACAACTCAGTTTTTCAGGCTGAACTGATTGCATTAAAAGCTGCACTTGTCTACGCACTGGAAAATAACTATTCCAGTATATATTCAGACTCAGCCTCTAGCCTCCAGGCAATCCAAGGCACATGTAGTAAAAATCCACTCGTCAGGGCCATACAAAAACTCTTACTAAGAACACCTAAATACTATAGGCCTGAACTCCAGTGGGTACCTGCCCAGACCAGAATACTGGGTAATGAAATTGCAGATGCAATAGCCAAAAGAGCAGCAACTGACCCCCACGTTCGCACACTTGACGTGCCTCTCCCGGGTTCGTTCTTAAAAGCTGAGCTCGAGAGAGAATTACTCAAACGTTGGCAACATCTGTGGGAGACAGAGACCACCGGCAGAAGAGTTTCACAGATTTTTTCCAAAAGTCTGCCGGCTTCTAAAAAGTGGCTCGTCTCATTTCACTCAGTATCTAACAGGACATGGTCCCTTCATGACTTACCTGCATCGCTTCAGACGACGCGAAAACGAGCATTGCTCATGCGGGATGGTAGGAGATCCGGACCACTATCTGTTCGCTTGCAGAGAGACTGCCAAATATCATCTTAGGCAACCAGTAGCAAACCACATCCATGCATGGGCCGAAGCTACTTCGAAAAATCGCAATGCATTGAAACGCATATGCGATTGCATAAATATTGCACGCAAAATCTCAGACAGGCTGGAGTAATTCTCAGCTGCCATCCTCGTCACCAGCACAGCCCCTGTATGCTCTGTACCTGTAATGAACTAATTTTATCTTAAGTTAGCTTTTTCGGCTTTTCTTATTCCCTGTATATACTTATCTCCTTGAACTGTAAACCCTGAATTATGAACCTTGAATTATGTATTTTGCCTTATTTTATGTATTGTTTTCACTGTTTTGCCTTTTTTATTTTATGTATTATTTCGCTTTTTAGTATTTTACTTCTTTTTATTTTTAGTATTGCTATTTAGTATTTAGCCCTATTTTAGATATTATTTTTACTGTTTTATCAGTCACTCTGTTAATTGCTCATATATTGCACAGTACTCATTTATTGTTCACGTTGTGGATGCCTTTTGTAACCACCTATCCATAACTCTGTAAATATGTAACTGAAATTGTTCTTCTCACCCGCAATGCACCCTTCTTCCATCACTGCACTATCGTCTCGTCCAGCATTTGTTTGCACTGCCCCCAGCACTCGTCTTGAGCACAATATGTACCAAAGTGTGTTATGTTGATTAAGTTATTTCCCACAGCGGGGCAACCTGGCCGATATGCTAACTGCCCCTGTAGATCGGCTGCCTCACTGTCGGTGGACAGAAAGAAAAAAGTGAGTCGGAGGAGATTTTTTTAAAAAAATAATGTGTGCGAGATATTAAAAGAAACAATGTTTATTTAATTTGCGTAACTTGCGTAATTTGCGTAAGTTAATACTAAAACTGTAGGTGTTGGTTAATTTGTGCCTCTATATTGTGCTCCTGTGCAAACTAATACGCGCCAAATGCTGATAACCTAAATGGGGTAATTTATATTATATAAGTGGATGGGAGAGAGCGAGTTTGTAAATTTTAAGGTAACTATTAGACAAATTTAAATTTGATATTTTTATTACTTAGGCCATTTTCTTCCACTTAAAACTTAACTTGGCTGCTTGAAATGAAATTTACACCCAAAATTACTCACGAGAAAAAGCGCGACATTTGAACGACCCATGTAATGTCCGCACCTGCATTTTAGTGATGTGATTTTAGTAAAAAAAATGCGGACATTACGTGAGCGTACATGGTAGTTGTTTTGAATTCCATACATTCGTCTGAATTATTCGTCGAAACTTCTGATATTCTTTAGCTTGCAATACGTAAGTTTCTCGGTAAAGTATTTATCGCTGATCGTTGTTCAATACATTAATTGTAATGCTAAATCCCTCAAAAACAGACATCTGCTTCTATATCTGGTTGGTGGAATAGCGGTTGAAAATAATATAAATCGAGCATTTATTGCAGCAACATTCAGTGCAGAAAAGAAAATTACCATTGGCCACCTCCTTATTATTCTGGCAAATTGAATAACTTTCTGCCATTTCAACCACAGTATACACTACTCCCTTAGTGATATTATAAAAATATATTATTCTTGGCGTTTTTATTCCTGTAGTAGTATTATCTATAGTATCATCATTATGTATTTTGAGAGAATAAGAAAAGTTTTTCTTTTTTAGAAACATAAGAAATTAATGTTTTATCTTTTTCGAAACCAAACAGTGTAGAAAATATTCCGATTTTCATCTTCAGTTTCTGAAATGCAATCTTTATCACTTTCAAATATTTCTAGTAAATCTCACAGCTGTTGCATCTCCAATTCATAGGGAGTCATTTTTTTGGGCCATAATGTACTTAGAAATCTTTAAGAATTTAATTTAAAATACTTTAAAAATTGCTTGAGAGTAAAAACATTTACTGTTACACTCTAGAAATAAATATTCAGTCAGAAAAACACTTACGCGAACAGGTGCCTAGGGTGTGTCATACCCCAGTTGCAACAAAATACCGATTAATCATTTCTGAAACTCACAGGCAACAGAAAAGCAGTTCTACTAAAAAGTCAACCACTACTAGAAACTCAGCTACTGAATGCAGCACAGAATTTCAGTTTCACAAGTTAGGAATATATTTTTTCTCACGCGCTTTCCCACAGGGTAAGAAAATATTGCTATTTGAGAGAATATATTTGAACATGAGTAGAAAGCTATAAATCTTTGTTGAAATAAAATGAATACGAAATAATTTTTACTTGTAAACCCTGGTACATATGTATCATCCTGTCGACTGTGAAAGGTGACTACCATCAAAATAAAGAATGTTGAAAGGAAATCTCATTATGAGTTACGCTAGTTGTTTGTGTGGAATTCTGAGCCGCACTTCTGTTTGTTAAGCTCTCAAATTTTACTGAAAGCTCTGTTTAAAACACTGTTTCCTGCAGGTAATTGTTGCAACCTATTATTGTTTTATTGACCATATCCAGCTAAATCATTTCAAAAATATTTATATTTCTAAATAAAATATTTTAATGTAAAGAATTTCAAAAATATATATACTTTTAGCAGTTCATTCTTTTTGTATGCTGTCTTAACCCGAGAAAGGACAGCAATTTGTAGATAAGAGAAGTTATAGAAATTTTTCTCCTTTCTTACGGTGTGATTTCGGAAGCATATTCGGCTAGCAATCAGGAGGTCCGGAGTTAGGTCTCCGGCAAAGGCATTTGCTGAATTTTTATTGTTCTTGTTTCGATGGATTTAATAACTCTAAAGAGCTCTTTATTATTTATGTCAAATCTTGTTTTCTGCTGCAAAACCCAATAGCTATCTAAGAAATCAACCATACAGCATTTTCATTTCATTTTCGATACGAACTGTGTAAAAAGTGATAATCTATAGAATCGGTGTGTTCTTTTTGATAACATAAAATGCAGACTCTACGTAGAAGACGAAGTAGCGAATACTCGCTATGTCTTTTGAGAATAAATACATCAGAAGAAGGTTTTAAGTAACATTTTTATATAAAAAAAATTAAAACAGATGCACTCACTTAGTGCTCACAATTCACCACCACTGTTGGCTAACTAAATTAACAGAAAATAAAAATGTAAAATGCACATTAAATTAATGGCTAACGACTGGCTCCTTAGCTTAACTAAACGCTAAATCGGCTGCACATAGCAAAGCCGAGCCTAGAAATATTAAACATATCTAAAAGCCGAGCCTAGAAATATTAAACTGAAAGGTGTCTAACACTGACTAGAGAGCTAAATTAAAATACGCAGCATAAACTCGGAACTAAGTCCGCTGCTACCCGAACTCTTAAAACGGATCTCAAATACTGCTTCTGAAACACGTTTAGATTAGCATCCTACATCATTTAAAATTTACATCCCGGCAGGAAGCTGGAATCACGAGAGAAAAGAAAGTAAAACTAAAAATAATTCGTTAGAATAAAATAATGTCCTTAACAAATCTTAAGATTACCATGGAGATTTAACTGTTTCGATTGCTAAACTCTAACTGAAGTAAAGAACATTAATGCATTCAATATAAAGGATCACTGAGTGTTAAACATTTTTTAATTTTTTTAGTACATTTCTCAGTTCAAAACGTTTAATTTTAAAAACGTTTTCGCATGCTTTATTTATGTACTTATAATTGTTCGTATTTTTGTGAAACGTTTCAAAGATAAATTTTAATATTATAAAATTTATAAATGTTAAAAATTATTTATTTCAGTTTTGATTTTGGAGGTGTATTCATCCAAGATAAGAATTTTGTAAAAGAAATAAACAAAGCTCAGAAATCATGGATTGCTACTGTTTACCCAGAGCTGGATGGTATGCCCATGTCAAGTTTTATTCGACGAGTTGGAGGGCTGAAATCTCGTTTTCACAAGTAAGACTGCATTGTGATTGGTGATTCATTACTAAATTACAATTATAAAATTCTTATTTACATTCTTTATAACATTTATTAAGAGGAATTTATTTTTATAAAATGTTTGTTGTAACACCTAAAACCACACTTTCTAATATATTTCGAATTGCTCCATTCATTAATTTTTTGCATGTGATTGGCATTATGTGATAAGAGCTCTGTTGTATTTTTTCCGTACGTAAAGCTATCAAAATTTTGGAAAACATGCTTATGTCCAATGGTATGGGAGAAAACATTACCCTATATTATTTCATAAATTATAATAATTCGTCCGCTTTACATGCTTTGGCAATTAATTAATGTAACTTATTTCATCCTTTTAATAATGGCTTTTATATTTAAAGTTATATAGAGCATATCGACAGAATTAAAAGATAATAAGTAGGATTGAGAAGGAAGATAATATATGAAGTCTATTGACTTCAAAGGAATTTAGACTCTGCGTGATTTGAAAGCGACTTGTAGACTAACGATGTTTCAGAAATGGCTGGGGTAAAATAACTGAATTTTTAATTACATTCTGTTCGGTTCCAAAAATTATTATCATAGGAAAATATTAATAGGAATTGTAAACAGAAGTTCGTCCAAATACAATCTCTTTATTTCAATATAAATTTGAGTTGGAATTGCTTAATGTTGATCAAGATCACGGACAACGTCACATTCATCATAATTCACTTTGTACCATTGTGAATGTATGAATAAAGTTGTGAACTAGTTTCCTTTTAGATGCCGTAGAATACAGGGTTATCCAAAAGAATGTCTATAATTGATCCAAAAAATACCAGTAATTCAAATAATTCAAAAACATGTTAGTTTAATGCTGTTAAATATATTGCAATGATTCATATGTTAAAATGCAAAGAAATATCAAGAGAAATTTTTCTACATTAGTAAGTATCAATACTTACCGCAAAGCAGATATTAAAATTATACTCGGTCTTATGACAAATTCTTTAAGTACTTGAGTTGGCATTTCTAATAGCTACGGCAATCATTTGCCATATTTGAAGGAAACAGTGGAGATTATCATACAAAATAGTACTTTTGGCTCATCCCCACAAGTTGAATACTTGTATAAAGAAGAATGCTTTCAACTCTTTTGTGGTGCTACATAAGATCGGGTTTCTCAGCTAAATAGAGCTAAATTGGTTATGCAGTTTAAACAACAACCCTTTAAGGAATTTATCATTCACAGTTTCGCCCAACATCCGTTCAAATGTTCTCTTTTTGTTTTTAGCCTTTTTAATTTGGAGCCTTTCTGATTTGGGAAAAGGATTATTTTAATATCCCTTCATTCCTTTTTACTGACCTAAATCATTCTAAGAATGATGTTAACATGGGTTTCTAAGATAAATGTACTCAAAGAAAGCAGAACATAACAATCAGTCTATGTCCATCTGAATTATATTCCTTTCCAATATTTTTCATAAGGACCTTCATCTTTTTCTCCGCATGCATGCACGTGATCTACATTTATTATTAATTATGAAGATGAAGCGGCGTAATTTTTCAAAGCTTAAATTAGCGTGAGAGTTGAAAGATCTAAACTCAAATGATTCTGTATCACGTGCATAATGTATGGCGTTGGAAACATCTTTCATTAATTAAAACAGACTGCAGATATTAATGCAAATTATCTCTCATCTGGATATACTATTATAGCTTATACATGTTTAACATTACATAGTTTAGCTAGATTATTAAAGCAAAATTAAAAGGGAGATGGTCATCAGGGAAAATGATTACCAGTTACCTCGAGATTGATAAGAACTTATAATCAACAAACAGGTCATCATTGCGGACAGCTCTAGAATCAGATGAAATCAACATATGGCTAAATAGTAAATTATGATAGATTTTAAAATTAAATCGGAATATACTCATGCCTCTAAAGGCTCTTAGCCTCCACTGAGTCGCCAAGAAGCCAACTTATATATCACTCATATAGGTATTATAGTATAGTTTTAATCGGAGCACATCGGTGAAAGATATCGATCATTGGTGAACGAAGAAAGAAAGTCACTTCAAGTAATACGTAGGTAAATGGCTCGTATAGGACTGTTGCTGTACTTTTAAATAAGTATTCAAAGTTCGATCTGAGCTCATCAATGCTTTTCAAGGCAGTTGATCATCAATACCTTTTGACGCCTGTCAAAGTTACTGGTGACCTACAGGATTAGGACTATTTGGAATCGATCTATTGAATGATCCATGCAGGGGCATAGCTCGAGGGTGGCTAATGAAGGGAATAGTTATCCCCGGGCGGCACATCTCTGGGACCTGCATTTTCTCGTGAAACATTATTTTCTTAGTTATGTAGATCGTCGAAGCAAGCAAAATTCTGAATTTCCATATGTATTAAATTGAATAGAAAAACTGTTTTTACACTAGAAAAGTATTCAAAGGAATCACTGCTAAATTTCAACGGTCCCATACTCTTCTTATACATTCTTTATTCCGTCAAAAGTTTTGAATGAGAAATACAAATATCAACTAAATTATGCTTACGATGACATTAATAAGGAAGAATTCCTCCATTAGAGGAAATTATTTCAAAGTTTTATTTCCATTATTGCTAGGGAAAACGAAATAGGGACTTTGAAAACCAGTCTTTTTGAGCTTTAGCAGTTTTATTCTCTAGGACCAAAGTTCCAAATATCGTAATACTGCTGTGAACTTTGCTCACAGTTACGCCATGTTGTTAGAGTAAGAAGCTTTTTGTAAATATGAAATCAGTTCAGAAGTATTTACGCTTACAATTGCAAATGTATATTTTGCAACTGAAGAAATTAAATAGACTTTATACTGTGTCATCGATGGTTTTGCGAACCAAAAATTAAGATATATAATAACACAATTTTAAAATGTTTGAATTAAGTTTTACTTTAAAAATAAAAATGAGGTTTTAATTCATTTCCTTATACGCCATTTTGATATTTTTTAGATGTTTGTTCTCAGAGCGGCGACAAACTCAGGGATCGCCCTGAGCGGCAAAAGCTCTGGTTACGCCACTGCATGGACATTAGTTAGTGAAATAAGTTTAGATACATACACTTTAACAAATATTCCATTAGAGCTCATCAATGCATTTCAAGACGAATTAAGATGTATATTTAAATTAAAATTCTATCGGAGCTGATCGGTGAATTTCAAGACGAAGGTCACAGTGTCATTCGATGCTTGTTAAGGTCGCCGGTCATCCATAGAGAGAGAGCCACTAAGAGTCAAAATAGCAAGCAAAATTAAGAGATATACCGAATTATTATCATGATTATACCGAATATTTCGAACTGAAAACCTGTTTTAAGAATTTGCCTGGATATAGCAGTTTGTCAACACAGAAATTTTTTCCTGTTTTCATAATACCAAACGCTAATTGTTTATAATTTATGAATTACTATAATGCAGAATATTTGCGAAAATTCGCATTTATGTCTGTACGAGTTTATGTCTCAAAATTTTGACCCCAAAACAAGTCATATTTCCGGCTACAATAAAATAAGGTGCAAAATTTTATGAGTATACTCTCAACATTGAGAGTAGGAAGAGTTCTGTAGAAATAAATCTAACTTTTGGTATGGTTTCCCTAGAATATAAAATTTCGGCTAATTTGTACAGAAACCAATAGCCTTATAACATTAAATTATGGTTCAAATACACCTTTAGGCGATTTATCGCTCTGTCTTAGTTTGCTAAATGAAATAACTATAAACTCATATGAAGATTTAAAATAAAGCTAAAAAAGCTAAGTCCCTGACTTCAGGAATTTCGTTCTAATATGCACGTTAACTGAACTGCAACTTCTTGAGAGCCGACGAACGTTGAAGTGACAGTAAAGATAAATGGATATTTTAAAGAGGATTTCTTTTGTATGAAGGCCATAAAAATTATATTTTAGTTTTACAAAAACTTTTACCTTTCTTCAATATGAAATTTTGGATTTCTATATAGTATTCTTGTGTATATGAATTTGTGGATTACATACAAAACTATAATAAGTTTCTTTTAATTTTCAACAAATGTGAATATATTTTTAAAACAGGAGCCCGCAAATCAAATCCCATTTTCCAAAGAGATTCTTTAAGCAACTGCCTGAAGAATTCGATTGGAGGAATGTCAGTGGAATTAATTATGTATCTCCGATTCGTAATCAAGGTAAGTATGTTGGCATTTAGTTAAAATTTATATGCTGTTTAAAGAACTTCGAAAAATAAGCCAGAAACTGGTATTTCAACACAGGATACAAGACAATTGAAAACGTATATTTTCAATAAAAATAATTCGAAAAATTTTCAATGCATCATAACTGGTAAGGATGATTTTAATTGAGTACTTACTGCTGAGCGATTTAAAGTAAAATCCTTACAGAAAATGTACACACGTAATTCTGTTTGTAGTTTTATCACATATCAATTACGAATGCATTTTTATATAGTTTGTACTAACTTTATATTGGTATTTATTTACATCACGCACCGCACCGCAAAGTACTTAATTATTATTTGCATGTATTTACAACTGCTTACTGTAATTAATATACATTAATATACATTAATTTTTAATTACGTGTTGTTAATATCGTTTAATTTTCTTCTGTTTTTAATAATCATCACTTTCTTCTCCTTGTGCTCTTGGTCTGATTTATTGAGATATTTTTATTTAAGTATAAAACTAAGTGACTGGAATCGTTGCTTTTTCCTCGTACTAAATAAAACAGTTAATGAAATTAACTTCATTCATTTATTTAATTTGATATGTTTTAATGTATTTTAATAGAATTTATATATACTACATATTAGAATGGATTTCACATTTAATGTTTATTTCTTGTTCTCATTTTCCTTCTTCTATATTCTTTACTTCCCCTTTAAAGTGTATACAACAAAAGATTCTTAACAGCAGAAACAATGTGAATTTTCATACGTGTGCAATGAACCCTATCTAAAGTACCACTCACGGTTTCAGATGATTTTGTTCTTTTGTGGAAGTGGTTAAAGCTAGAGAGAGATGACATTCAGTACTATTATTAATCTGATGCTAATCAATACTATTATTACTAGTCTCAGAAATTAGTCACTTTCGCAGATGACCAATTAAGAAGGTAGTCGCCACAAACGAAATAGGAATGTATACATACTGAAGTAGCAAATTAACTAAACCAAAGTTGATTCATCTTAGTCTTAAGTGTGAAGCGATAGTGTACCCATGGCTACTGATAAAGTTCATTTACACCACTGTATTTTATACGAATTTTAAACAAGGAAGAAATGCTACAGAAGCATCTGGAAATTTATTGAAAGTGTTTGGTGAAGGTGCAGTTTCTGACAGGACATCCAGAAGATGGTTTGAAAATTTTGAAACACGTGATTTCGACCTTTCTGATAAGCCATATTCTGGGCAGCCATCTTTGATCGAGGACGATGTTAAGACCATGTTCAAGCAAGATGCTTTTCTGACAACTTCGGAGATCTCAGAAAGACTTAATTGAGCTCGGAAAACCATTTCGGGCCATATTCAGAAGATAGGATTGGTAAGAATTGTAAGAATTGGAGGTTCCCTTCAGCCCACCTGGACACGAGTGTCCCCACAGCTCAAAAGAACATTGTTCCCGTCTCTTCACAAACGAGGACACCCACCAACCCAGCCACCCCCAAACAACAAACAAAAATACTAAATACTCGTAAAAATAATTAAGCACATCTAACACAGAATTGTTAACAAACAAACAAAAAAAAAAAAAAAAAAAAAAAAAAAAAACTACAAACATAAATTTACTACGTAGAACACCACAGATATCTAAAACCTATTTTATAAATACGGAATTCAGTTTTAACAGAAGATTCCTACAAGCTCTCTATTTTCATCGATAAACTTCATTAGAGCAATGGTATACAGTGGCGTAGCGAGGGGGGGACAAGGGGGTGCATGATGCCCCGGGCGCTGCTCGTACAGGGGCGCCAAATGGTCTCCAAACAAGATTTTCCGGAAAATTTCAGTTTTAATTTTGATCGATTTCTGGAAAATATATTTAAAATTAATAACTATTGTAATTAATTTATTTTCTTGATTTGCCTGATAAAAATGTGTAATAAAATGTCTGCAGTACATCAACCAAAACGTTTTTCCTGACCACTTTATTTCTCCAAAGTAGAGATATTTGTATTTTTTTTTAACAAAATGCACGTATATCCCCCGCTTTTTATTTTAAAACGATAACACGACCTTGTCCCGAATTTTTCAAACACATCCAGTTTCCAAAATCCGATTCCATAATCTGCAAATGACATTTTGGGAAAATCCTAACGCTTCCGCTACAATGGATTGCGTTTGACTCTCCTGTAAACGACTGATGGCCTTCCTGGCTACCGATTCAACTAAGTCATCTTGCTGAGACATCGTACATTCACTGCTACGAAGCATTCAATAATGAATGGCTATTTGGAAGTTGCAGCGCAATCCTAAATCAACAGATATCAGGCGTTCACCAAAAGTTTGAATAGGAGTTCCATTTGCTACATAAAGTTGTAACTTGGTAAGACGCTTTTGTTCGTGAAAATGTGGTGAAATGACAGAAACATCAGCCATGGTGTCTAGAAGAAACCTTAAGCACGAAATTCTCTTCTATGACGAAAAGGCGTGCAAGATTCCGGCCGCTGTCATATATGACTTCGAGCAACGGCCCTTCTCGTTTCCCTGGTCGTTATAACGACACACGGTGGGTGGCATTTGTTTGCCTTGTTTCCAAATTTGTGGTGGTAAAAAAAAAAATACCCGGAAGAGGGATTTCATAACGTTTCCTCAGTAGGCTACGACGTGTATTTCGACCACGTGATGTGGAGCGGTTGCGCGAAAATATTCAGCTTGACTGGCTACTAACTGAGCAACCTGTTTGAAAAAGTCATCAATTTGAGCCTGTAACGCCACAATACCTGACCCATTAGCCTGCACTGCGTGTATTTGCGCAGGAATGGCCAGCTTGGGAATTTTATCAGCGATTTCGGGAAGATTTTTAACTGGCTCGCTACTGGCCGCTAAAATGGTTTGCATGTTAGATGGGAGTCTATTCATCCATAATGTTTTAAGAATGTTATCCGTTAGGTTACCGGCGACTGAGTCTGACATTTTAGACAGCAATTGAGAAGGCCTTATATCACCCAACTGTAAATCGTGCAACAGCTGCTTGATTTTAACTGTCTCGGATTCTTCATAAACAGAAATTAATTTTTTTAAAGATTGTGTATTTGTCCGTCGCCGGTGGATTCAAAATTATTTCACGAGCTGATTGAAGTACCTCTGATTGCTAACACGGCGATCGCTGTATAAAATTCGAGTTTCGTTGGCAGTAATGGTGACTCATTTAAACTGCGCATCCAATTGAATGAACCATAACGATGGATCTCGGCGACAAAAAGGTGGTGGCTTAACTGCCACTCGCGCTAATTGTGAAGCAGCATCGTTGTCAACCACTTTAGATCAATCAAATATGCACAGTAATAATATGTATAGAAAGATAATCAATATGTATATAGTGACACAGTTTCTTGGTACTTGAAATCAGAGAAACTGGCGGCTCAAATGCAGCAGACGATACATATATCCGCTGAAATTATGACAAAAATATGTTGACTCATTGGAATATGGCACAACGCTTGAAATCACATGTGAAATGTCTTATTTGAATCCCATCACACTGGGTAACTTACTGCTCTTCAGAATTTTGATATATAAACTCCATATTTGTGCAACATTGAAGGTTGCTATTCGTAATAAATACGGGTCACCAATTATGGTAGTACAATTTTTTGAGACTGATCGTTAAATAATTATAACAATTGAATAGAATAAATATTATTTTGTTTTTGATTGCTATGGGTTACCAGACTGGCAGAGTTGAGTTGTAGTAGGAAAGTTGCCACATATCTATTTATTTATCTATAATGTATATTAAACTTTTAACTGTTTAAAAACACTTATATAAATATGTAAAATAAATAACACCTTTTTAACTAATTCTAGATCATCGTATGTCTGATTTTTTCGCCGACACAGATGCATTTCCAAATTCAAGGATAATGTAGTTAGGTAGTGACTATTCTTAATATATATTTTTGAGTATTTTATGGCAGATTCAGCATTTTATTATTATTTGCATTATTTTCTTATTACGAATATATTCTATACATTATATTACTGAAAGTGTTTTTTTGGGGGGGATGCCAAAAAAGTATTTTGCCCCGGGCGCCAGTTATGCTTGCTACGCCACTGATGGTATATGATTTAAAAAGTTTAAAATTAATGGCACATTAAAATCAGTAATTTTAAAAATCTGTCTAATAGGGGCTGTTAAACTACAATCAACCAAAAAATGCCTAGCATCACCATCAACCTGACAACTATTACATAGTTTATTTTCCTGCAGATTAAATCGGCTGAAATAGAACGGAAATCTACCATGTCCAGTTGAAACCTGTTCAACGTCAGTATTGTTCATACATTTCATCTTTTCGTGATTTTAATTAGTTCAATAAATCCTTTGTTTTTAGGTGAAGAGAACCACTATATTTTCCATTTGTTAACGTAAAACTCTTTCATTCGTCGAATAGCAATTTTCTTCGAACCTGTTACTTAAATATCCATTGCATTAACATTTGAGACCGCCTGCTTGGCCAGGCTGTCGGCCCTTTCATTACCAATAAAGCCTATATAGGCTTTAAACCTATGTAGCTTAATATTTAAGTATGAACTCAAAATTTCTAAATGACTTTTAATTTCGACAATTAATGAATTGAAACTGTCTGAGCGGCAGAGCGCATGGAGAAGTGACAGGCAGTCAGTGTAAATATTAACAGACGTGGGCATAAACAAGGTATTTTAAATCCATAAGGCTTGTTTGAACACTTCACCTTCTACTTGGAAAACTGAATTATATGTATTCAACTTAAACATTCTGCAATCCACCTCAATTCTATAGTAAAAAACAACAAAGGCAGCTCCTACGTTCCCTCCGACTCCAAAACCATCTGTATAATTATCAAATATATCAACAGCTGGATTACTTTTATCAAAAGCAAAACCAAATCTATTGGAAGGATGTATTAAATTAATATTAAAATTTTCAAAAACATTCTTTGTAACCAAATAATGCTCACACAATT